GGAATAATCCTCACACTGCATTGTTATAACAGGTTGGTAACGGGGTGGCCATAAAAGAAAATACAGCCTTACGAGTGTGGTGCCGTAAGGGGATCAATTAATGTGCACGGGGAACCCAGCCCGCGCGTGCTATGTACGTGGTGCCCGTCGAAATGCGGATCTATCGATACTTTTCGATGTTACCTAACCTCTCCTTGGTACACTCATCTTCTTTATGCGAGTCTCTCTTTCTTCCCTGTTTGCGCTTCTGACGCTCCCTAATGTGTTCCAACTATCCTTTGGAGCAAGCGTGAATAGGCAACCCAACAAGACTCATGTAGCGCCGGACAAGAACGAGTACAACCAGAATATCGATCCGCTGCCACCATCTTTCAATACTCTACATACGTTCAAAAAATTAAGTTCTCCCGAGTCCACTCCTACTCAAGGGGAGTTGGAGAAATTGGCTAGGAACTTCGACGGAATCGGTGGGTATCGTTCTTCATACTCCCTAGGATAACATATCCTGATAATGGCTTTAGTTCCTGATGCTAAGAAACGTGATGTACTCTTGTAAGTTTGACTGTTCGCTGACACCACTTTGAATATAGATTAACAAGCATCCAGGTCGAATGGTGTTATAGCCGTTTTCTCAGAGGAGTACGGATTCATGGGTTATGTAGGTACTTCATTCAGTACGTATATCTTTTGTTGCCCGGCTTCTCTGTTCCTGAACGCCGTCGCAGCCACATTTTCGACTCTCCCTACTACGCAAGATGTCACCTTAGTACTCTTCGTGACACTTCCCTCCGTGGATCCCCCAGGAATTTTCGATATGAGGGCTATCGGCATGCCTGCTCCTTACCTCGGGGTTATTGATGGCTATTCGGGCCCTTTGTGGGGACCAGGATTGGCAGGGTAAGTCAAATTCCTCGTTCCCGTGCTTCACTTTGTGCACTGTGATCACTTCGTTACCATTCTTCAACCATCCAATGCTTCATCTACGCTGAATGACGGTAATCCAGATACGGCTCTATGACAGTCGTCCAAGAGTCCACTTTCCCTGCGTCTAATGTTCAAAATCCCACCGGTCTCCCATCTCAATCCAACATCTGGACCATGGACTCCACCACCGGGCAGCTCACTTCGACTTGGTTTAATGATGATGGGACACCAGTGCCGTGCACCATGTTCTACGATCTCACCTACGGGGATCTCAACTTCGGAGGGGACCTAAGCGCGTTTAAGGCCACTTACTGGCAAGATCAGGACGTGCAGGTGTGGCTTTATTATATTGGTTTATGGTGAAGCAGAGGCGATAAGAATGTTGATATGATTAATGGTCTTCATGGGACTAAATTTTGGCACAATTTCTTATGCGTATTTCTATTGCACTGTTATTTAAAGTTTCTGGTGAAATATTTATGTGAACCCCTTTGACTGAACATCAACAGTAAAACAATATGGCACCTGATTTGTCAAATTGATTTGTGCCTGCCACAAATCTAATTTGCCTATTTTGCGCTGATTTGTCGGCTGAGCAAACACAAATTTGCAACGAATCTCCCTTATCACATGCATGATACAATCACACAAAAAAATACCAAAAAGAGGGGGAGGGGGGTGGGTAAAGCAAAAGCACTGCAAGCGAGTTAGTGCACGAAAGAGCTGCAGCTCATGCTAAAGGAAACGGACCTTCATAAACTGGGACGCGTAACTCATGAAAGTCACGAGAAATCTACAGGGACCGGGGAAGGCCTGATCGCTGTAATTCCCAATATCACATATTGTCAAGGCGACAAATTTACAGAGTAGATGTGACTCGCAAATAAAAGTAAAAGTGAAAAATAAAAATAAAGAGTGCATTTCTTATCCAGTCTCCACTCAGCCGCGTGATTCAAGTCTCGCAGATGACGGTGTGACTGGAGGAAGCGCTATTTCCATATTTCCCCCCCCCCCCTGTAGAACCAGCTACCTCTCGCGTCGTCACGCGAGTCAACACGTCGTCACGTGTTAGTTGTACAGCCTCGTGTCCTCAAAGAGTATGGTCAAAGACCTAAGCCCCCAAGTCCCCAATACGGTCAAAGACCTGAGCCCCCATGTTCTCAAATATGCGGTCAAAGACCTAAGCCCCCGAGTCCCCAGTACGGTCAAAGACCTAAACCCCCAAGTCCCCAATACGGTCAAAGACCTAAGCCCCGATATTCTTAAATATGTGGTCAAACTTGACCTGAGCCCCTATGTCCTCAAATATATGGTCAAAGACCTGATTCCCCATGTCCTCGAATGTCCTCGAATATGTAGTCAAAAGACTATAGCCCCCATGTCCCCAAATGCCCATATCCCTAAATGCCCCCATGTCCCTAAATGTCCCCATGTCCTCAAATATTCTTATGATCATAGATCAAGAATTTTCCCCCACGTCCCCAACTGCGTATGGTCAAAAGACCTGAGTCCAATATGCCCCATGTCCTCAATATATGCCCCCACGTTCCCAAACAATGCCATAATCATACATCCCCCTGTGCAAAAAAAACTCAAGATCGTCGATCCGTTGTGCCTCATCTCCCTAAAAACTAAAACGAGCATAATCAGTCTCGCACAATCCCAAACTACTCACCTGAGAGCTAGACTACTGCATCAGCGCTAATACAGCAGCCTAGAAGATCCGGGGTTTGAAGTATGACTCTATGAATGTCATCGTGTCCGAAATAATAGGTACCTGTTCAAGAAGCATGTAAAAGAAGCAAGAAGGGACAAAGATAATGGTTTCAGAAAGGAGGGAAAAAGGAATGTCCATAAAGAAATAAAATTGACGGAGGCGTTTTTTTTGCTGGTTTATTCTTTTATTCGTGTTTTTAGTTGTTGTCGTTTTTCTTTCTTTTTTTTTTGTTTTGTTTGGTGTTCGTGGTATCTTCGGCAGGTCGGGGAGAGATGCACCACCAGGATCCGACGCCCCCTCCGTCCCACAAGCAAGACACCAACGCCCTACAACGTCACGGAGACTCACCGTCGATCCCCCCCTAGACCCTACACGCAAAACCACAACTTACCTCCTGCAAACCGGATCAGGACTACAAACACCAACCAACCGCAGTTGAGAGGTAACCCCACACACGCTTAGGAGACGCTCCTAAACACCCCGCCGGCGTAGGGTATCCGGCAAGCTCCTCGCCATGCGTTGGGGCACATCGAACCACGGCCATGTGAATCTGCAGGATCGAGAGGAGAATGCAGGAGGCGGGAGGCAGAAATGATGCAGAGTTTTTGGAAAGGGTTCTAATACTTGCCTACCGTGCATGCATTGCGTTGATCCCCTACCCATGGTTCGAGAGTTTCAATCGGGAATCCGTTACGTGGATATCTCGGACACAGCGTTGAACTAATGAAGATCGTTAAGCCTTTGTTGTGTGTTTAAGAAGTGAAAAAGAAATACCAGGCTGTGTCTTTTTCCCACCCCATACGTCGTTCAGGGCCCGGGTGCGACCATCCACAGGCACGAGGAAATGACACTAGTTTCGGCCGCCCACTCGAGCCAATTTTCGTAGTCTTGTGCGTCGACCATAACTCCTACGCTGGCTCTGTGGAAGACAGCCACGTCTTTCTCTGAACATTGAGCCTTGGCCGCCAGGGCAGCGACCAGTTCGTTCCAAGTGGGAGCAACGGAGTATGAGAGGAGGAAGGTGCGGTCCGTACCCCCCATGTAGACGTTGTAGCTGAGGGTGTGGCATTCCTGTAGAGTTGTTAGAGATAAACGTGTTATAGTAAGAGAAGCCACGAACCTCAGCCTTAGGCTCGTCGACTTGATGAAGCTCGACCGGAGACGGCGACCACATGAATTCGGAGTAAGAAGAAGCACAGGATATACTAGCAGTGAGGGCGGTCTCAGATTCGGTCTCGGATTCGGAATCAGAGGTCGAGTAGCCCGTGATCAAGTCGGCCTCCCAGTCCACTTCGACTCGACGGCCGAGACAACAGATGCAGTCGCACGAGCCCGAGGAGCAACTGGCTTCTACAATGTCGCGGGAAACACAGGGCCATGAAATTTGGATGTTTCTCTGAGCGACGGTGGGGTGGGTGCGCGCGAGATGAGCGACGCTGCGGACGGAGCCCCAGACATTTTTAAGGGAGGTTGTGAAAGGCATTAGAATATGATGGGTATGCGGGTAAACTTGGGTGCGGAAACAAAGGAAGGATGAGGGGAGTAAGCAAGAGCTTGGGGACAATTAGACCTTCCAGAGATGTTTATAAAGCTTCGAGTGCTTGAAGTTTCGGAACGGATGTTCGAGACAGAGAGAGGATAGAACTACCGAGCTGCCTAGAGCGTGAGGCCTGAGGTCTGGGGCCTGAGTCTGGCCACGAATGTCTCGTGAATTTAGAATATCCTGAAAGAACATGTCGACCTCAAAGTTGCTCCAACGAGGCCTAAACTTGAACGTTCAACATGTACAGTATTTTATTTAAAAAAAAAAATCAACAACTAAGAGACACTCACAGAACACTGATCCGGTGAATCATGCCGGAGATTGATCTGAAACTGTAACGAGCGGGTGTCAATCGGCTCCGAGACTCCCCGAGACCGCCGCTGCACACGCTACATCCACTAACAGGGAAAACTTATCCATTAACACGTTATACGTACAAATATACACCGTTTCTTCATTTTCTAGTGACAGCTGTGACAAGTAGGGTCAGGGAATCGAGGTTTCTTCTCTGCGCGCTCATGGCGGCTATTTGACGAAAATAAACGGACATAATATACCAGTTCATAGAAAGAAAAAAAAGATACAGATAAGGGACATGGATTATCACCAGAAACTGTGAATCCTGGGCAGCTTAGAGTCTGCATGGATTGGTTTAGACAATGTGGTCGGTGTGGGGAGATTGAAGTTGCAGCTCCGCATGCAGAGCTTAGCTAAGAGAGCCCCGGTTTTCAACCTCCTCCTCGGTGAGCACTGAAGTTTAACCTTGTTGCTGAACCTAATCGTGTTCGCACTTCACCGCAATGTAGAGACTGCACATCACTGGGTGGATATACCCAGCCAAATCCAAATGTACGTTGCATTTACCATCCTGCCGTTCACATCATTCGCGACGAGTAGATCGCTCATTCACCCTTGCAGCCATGTCCGTCGACGCCAGCACATCTGCTTCCGTTCAGGAGACACAAGAGGATACTACACCAGCGTGGACGGAGCCGCCTTGGACCGGATGGATTGAAACAACGGGAGATGCGCTGCTCATCCTCGAGGCTGCTCGACGTGGTATGATACCCCGCGTGACACGTCGTCTCGTGGACTCGGAGCGTCGCATGATCACCTCCGGGTCCGTGTTCGTCTTTGATGAGGACGAGAGTGGCATCAAACGCTGGACAGATGGGTTCTTCTGGAGCCCGAGTCGAATTCTGGGGAATTTTTTAGTGTGTCTGCTCCCTGTGCAGTGATGCATAACTCGTTGACAATGAGGTATGACAGCTCTACCGAGAGACAGACAAGAAGTCGAACATTCGAGGGGCGCAGCGTTCGCAGGCTCCAACGAGTACCACTCCGTCCATCCTCGTCAACGAAGCAAGTCATACCATCGGTCTCCGCAACGACACGTCGACACTTTCTCGACCAAAGAATATCGACCCGGGCGATGTTGATCGCGCCCGTGAAAGATCGCTATTCGGCAGTCTCACCAACAACAAGAAATTCAAGTCTCAAGGAATGATGAAGAAGGTGAGCGGCTCGCTTCCCCGAGTAACCAGTGTTGACAGTTGTTCAGACATTTTCTCTCTCGATCGGTGGCGTTGCTCAGCACCTCATATCGTACTACAAAGTCGAAGATGTGGAACAAGGTCGCCTGCGTACACCGTCATCTCTCCCAGAACTAGCCGCCTTGGAAATCAGTTCAGAATACCTCGACAAGACACACTTCCGCGTCCCGCCACGTGTCGAATACGACTCAGATGGTGTTCCTCGATACAGGTTAGTCCAGTTCTCATGCTGCATTGCACAATGCTGACAACCTCCTAGAGGCGAAGCAGACGAACCCGAGTCTCCCACTCTCGGGCTTAGCGACCTCCCTCCAGTCCCGGCTCTTGAAGGCACACCTGCCCCAGCTCCATCAAAGCCGAAACGCTCCCAGAAGCGATACGACCCCTACGGAGAGGGCCCCTCCAAGCCACGTCGTAAGCGAATGCAAGACCCCCAGAACGACCTAACCCAATCGCAAGACACTTCCCTTCCCAGCCCATCGTCCCCTTCATCCTCGCACGCAGGATATGACGCTACCAGTTATTTCCAAGCATATGCCAACGCATCAGCACAAGGGGGCTACTACCCTCTTCCGACCGGCTACTATGCTGCTCCCGCTCCATCAGGCCAGGCTATACCCTACGCCATATACTCACCGTCAGGCTCGGAGACCCAACCCACATACCCGCCTTCCGCCACATTTTACCCACAACCGTTGCCAGGGGCCATTTATGCGCAGACGGGTCCAGGCCCCACACCTGCTGCACCGATGGGAATGCCGTACTATCCGTCTGTAGCGACTGGCTGGCGTCCCACCGGCGGAACGAGCATCGACAAGACAGACGAGAGCGGCCAGAAGCCCGCTGGTGACGATGATACCCACGATGGGATTACTGCCCAGGCGTAATGTGATGACGGGCCTTGTAGCGTGTAGTTGGTAAAGATATTAGTTCGCGATTGGGGTAATGTGGGGTGTCTTGATTTCGAAGGCGTAATGCTAATATTGGATATTGATTGTTGACTTTTGAAACTGTACTGCCAATGGTTTTTATTGAATCGTGGTTCTTGTTTTGTTTTACTGTTTCATACTTAGCATCTTGTATTATCTTTGTATGTAACCTAGCTATCTGGATTGTACATTTGTTTTATCAAGTATACGCCTTTTTTTTTCATACTGCCGGTCGTGTCGCAATGGTAGTCTCGTATACAAAAAGGGTAACATACTTAAAATGGACCAAGTATGAATTTTATATATGGTCTTAACTATGTAATTGTTTCAACCTCGCCCAGCAATTATTTAAACCTCAATCTCGAAGCTCGAATGAAGCCCGTCACTTATTCAGTCCACACATCTGACCGGCGTCTCATGAAGCAATCCGTTCTCTGTTCAAAAATATAGAGGAGAAAAAGCAAACAAACAGACAAAAAGATAGAAAGAGGGAGAAAAAAAATACACCACAGAAACCTAGGCACTGCCTGCGTGACATGGGAACAGACGTAATAACCATAAGATACGAATGGATACGGCCAGAAAACAAAGGAGATGTTCAAGCACTGGCTGCAGCAGTGCATTCTGTGTCTTGCTGGTCACATTGGCTTACACTGAATCCGCCGCCTGAGTTAGCCTAAAATTCGTCGTGAGGATGATGTTCCAATCTTGGGGTGAATAGAGGACTTACGGCGTCAGCGCAGGCGTTGTGCTGTATGGAACAGGAACGCTGGAGGGCGGCAGCAACGTTTACGAAGGAGTCGGAGCCTTCGACGTTGAATCCGCGTCCGCCCGCTGTGACGGCGGGAGGGAGAGAGCCTCCCACTACACAGAGCAGTGTTAGCATTGACTGTTAGAGGCTTATTAGTGGTGCTCACGGTTGCCTGTGAAGGTCTGTAGGTTTGCTCCGGACGCGGCTACGCTGCTAGAGGAAGAAGATGCGACAGGAGTGGCAGCGGCAGCGGCAGAACTAGAGACAGCAGTGGGGGCAGCCGATGCGGCGCTGGAGGCGGCCGCAGTCGCAGTCGCACCTGAGGCCGCAGTCGCACCTGAGGCCGAAGCCGCAGCTGCACAGGCAGTATCTTGCTGGTCACATTGGCCGACGCTGAATCCTCCGCCAGAGTTGGCCTATCAGAACATCATTAATATCTATAATCATAATGCAGGCGGAGATAGCTCACGGCGTCTGCGCAGGCGTTGTGCTGGATATCACAAGAACGCTGAAGGGCGGCTCCGATATTCAGGAAGGAGTCGGATCCTTCGACGTTGAATCCACGGCCTCCTGCGGTGACGGCGGGGGGAAGGGAGCCTCCGACTACATGGAAAATAAATGGTAACGCGGTTTTGTTGCAATATTTGATGGTACTCACGGTTGCCGGTGAAAGTCTGGAGGTTTGCTCCGGCTGAAGCAGCAGTACCGGAGGCAGCGACCGCAGAAGTCACAGCGGCGGAGGGTGCAGCAGCCACGGAAGTCGCGGCAGCCACAGAGGTCTCAGCAGCCACAGAGGTCGCAGCAGCCGCGGAAGTCGCAGCAGCCACAGACGTATCAACAGCAGCAGAGCTGGAAGCGTCACTGGCTTCTGCAGTTTCTGAGGCGACAGCGGCGGCGGTTGCAGACGCTACTGCACCAACAGAAATGCTAGCAACAGCCTGCGTCAAAGTATTAAAATTCCAACCACAGGTAATGTCAGAGGTCAGCTTACTGCGTTGATTTCATCGGCGGTGGCATCTTCGACGAGTAGGTTCTGAGTGAAGATGCAACCTTCGGTGTCGCTGCAAACGTGGTAATCAGTACATAACGTCTATCGCAAGATGCACTAGAAGACATAATATAGAACACTATACTCACTTTGCATCGTCGCAAGTGTTTCCCTTACCGGTATTATCGTCAAGATTGCCAGGAGAAAATGTACCGGATTTAAGAGCATCTTGAGGGTTTCCCCCAATACTCGCAATTTGTTGTGCCAAAGTAAGAACAATAGCCTTGTTTGTCGCCGCTGCACCGGTGGATGCTGGATCTTGATGTTGTTGGATAGCAGCAATTTCGGGATTGACAGCCTTTATGGAAGTGCAAGCTACGGACGCCTGTCCGACTTTTGCGGTATTGCGTTCTAAGGCACGGTAAATTAGAGCAGCGGTCATGCCCGCAACATCCCCAGCAGCTTTAGCATTGGTGAATGCCTGATCGGCGGTCGCTTGTTGCAGACAGTCGGTGTCCTATGAAAACCCATTCTACTAAGATCATAGTGTTCAATCATCAGGAGAGCGAGGAGGCATACGGTGATTTTTCCCTGTCCAGCAGCTGCTGCTGCATCTCCCAGAAGACCGAAAACGGAATCCACTATCCCGTCGGGGTTGTTCGATTGAAGCGAGGTTTGAACAGTGGTTAAAAACTGTTGATGAGAATGTTCTAAAGATTAAAATTGGCATAAGGGTCAGAATCTTGGCATAAATTCAAGTCATACCTTGAGGGACTTCTCGCCTCAATATAGGCAGAGTGGAGACGCCCGAAAGGAGGGACGCTGTGAAGGCGAGTGCGAGATTCTTGGAAGTAAACATGCTCCGGGGGTAAGACGACACTGCGAAAGAAGAAAGAAGGTGTTGAAAAGAAAGGGCGCCGCCGGCGCTGCAGAACTAAGAGTAAACACCACTTCGCGCAACCATGCAAAAAGACAGAGACGTACAGTGAAGTGTTTGAAAGAGAACGGAGTTGGTTCAAGACCCTGTCTTGTCTGACGAAGAACACAGGCAAAGAAAGAAAAAAGAGATCGGGGAAATGATAACGAGAACAGTCGAAGACCGTAGTATTTATTGCCGTGTTCTGCCTCACGGGTGTGCACGGTCTTGCCGATTGCGAAGCATTTTCGTTTCCAAGCGGATGTTGCGTGGGTACAATTAAATGTTTGTAGCTGCGCAATTAACGAAGAACGGTCATTTCGCCGAATTTCTACCTACCGGGTTAAGAGACCATACGTACCAGTGTACTTACTTATGTATGGGGAATCCAGCTTGTTGACATGTCAATACGGCTATGGCGGTTTTGTTGTATAAGTACGGTCAAGGGATTCGCACAATTTCTCGATCCCATTGAATGGCTCCTCGACCGGTGGTAGTGGGTGGTAGGTTCAAGGCTGCGCGACAAGGCACCCCAAGGCACGCATCGCACCTAGAGATAGCTTGGGGTAGGTAACGATCTGATCAATTCGGCCTTTGCACTGGCATGAATATTATCCACCTATGTACTTTCATTAAATTACTGGCCTCTCGGGTCGACATGGTGCATTTCCATGTTCAGCAGCGTTCGTGAGGTCATTGCTGTTCATTCAAGTAGAATTGTAGGAGAGATAGTCTATGAGCGCATCGTGACGTGCTGACGAAGGGGCATGGCACCATCGCGACAGAGATTCCGGAAGCAGTTGGTTGCACTGTTGCCAGGACGAATGTGGCTCATTTGGGGAAGCAAAGGGAAGACGCGATAGGAACCAATATTGTCGCGTGACCGTCGCATTCACTTCGTGATTGTCCGAGTACCTGGAACACATCTAGACACATGGGCTTCAAATCCGAACAAAGGGTCGAAAATCAACTCTTTCAGCAGCTGCCATTTGTGATGTTTATGTTCGGCATGACTGGACCAGATGCCTAATGCGCGAAATCTCAATGAATTCAAGTTTGTTCAAGGCTTAAGAATTGGTATCATACTATGGTACCTATGGGCTCCCACAATATTAATTATGTAAAGCCGTACGAGTGTTCACATATCCTCTCTGGTTAGACTATTAGACAATCCGGATATCATCAAAATCCCGCCGTGCGCTAAAGTGGGTCAGCATTGGGAAATTAGCTTGTGTATGTGAGTTTCCCTTTGATGCGTCGAAGGTACATACGACTAGATGTCGCGGGTATATATTAAACTCTGAAAGTACTTTCAGACGTCCTCCGACCCAAGACATCACAGTCTTATTTCTGGTAATACGTACAAACGTAACAAATTTTGAGGTTGGCGAAACGACGTGACCGAGGACTACGTGAACGAGACACTAGTTCTGAAAGCGATAGATTGGTCCCAAAAAACATGTAGAGCCACATACTGTTGTTGATACAATTACCAAGGAAAAAACAATAGGGCACATAGGTAGAGAGCCCTTAAACATTATAAAGCAGATCTTGGCGTCTTGTACTTCAGTAAATGTGTGATCACGTCTAAAAATTCAATACTTCGAGTGATCATGGAGCGAACTCGCTGGAAACTCACTGCACAAATTAGAACCTTTCCCTCTCAAATCACTCCATTGGTCACGGTGTAGTCGTCGCTGTGGTAGCAGCTGCCATTGTCGGCTGTGCCAGGGGCTGTGATGCCTGTAAGAGGGGTTGCCGTTCATTAGGCGTAGTACCCTCGTCGTCCTGCGCCTGGTCGCATTTCTGCTTGTTCGACCCAAAGCACCACCGCCGCTTCATCGCACACGACTCCAAGCAAGTGTGTCCTACACGAGAACAAGCCTGATCAGCAGCACTTCAGTGTGACGTGGTGAACTCGAGCACTGTATGTGAAAAAGTCTGTTGTGCATGCTGTGCAGAGTTCAAGGCATCCTACGAAGCAGACCGCACATACTACGCCGCAGGGGTCATCCGACATATGTACTTGTCCAAGCTTGTCGTGGGCGCGCCGTTGTTTGTACTTGTCTGTCCCTATGAATATCCATAGACGCTCACATGTTTGTACCGATACAAGTCATACAACGATGGATAGACTTTCTCTAACATTGACACTTAAAAATGGATGCCAAAATTCCATCCAAGGACTTCTTCGCATGCTGGCACCAGATGTTGCATGGACCCAGAAGGCATGTGTCCCAACGCCAGGAAAATGAACCTTGGAAGTTCAAAGTTGGAATGGCCCTTCTTGGAAAGCAAATGTTTAAGCTCAGGCTCACAAGAATACATTGGAACAATCATCAATGGTACATCGCGAACAAATCGGCTCCTGTACGAACCCTACCTTTCGAAATACTCCAGCTCACCGCAGTCAGTATCCAAGAACACCTCTGCATGGCCTTTCAGCTCATGGGAAATATCAAAGATTTACACACTTTGATATCTTCACATTTTTTTATCTTGTCTATCTATTTGCAACTTGAAGCTTGAAGTCCTTGGCTCGTCTGACATACTATGCCCGAAAGACGGCAA